AGAGAGAGAGAGAGAGAGAGAGAGAGAGAGAGAGAGAGAGAGAGAGAGAGAGACTGCCAGAGGTGGTGTGAGATCAGTGGTGACTGCAGCTATAGCTGTCCTCCATCCTGTATGGAGTTCGTAAACTGGTGTCTCTTTTTCATAACTAGCCATTATTCATACTTACCTACTGTTTTGAGGAGAACCCTGGCAGTGCCATGTGCTGATAGCTTGGTGTTAGGTGGCATCGCCTAGCAGAGAACACAGTGACTGACTATTCTTCGCTATAGACACACTGTGCTCTGGGAGGCTGCCTCTCAAAAGCACCTAGTCTAAAGGCCCTGTGTTCTTTCCTTCCTGAAAGATTTTCTGTTTAGAAAATGTATCTATCCATAAGGAAACTAACAATAACAAAACAAAACAAAAACCCTACTGTTTTAAAGGGGGCCTTTTGCTTATATCTCTAGTGTAGCTTGACATAGAGATCAGAGTTTCTGTCTTCAGCGTAGCACTCATGTCTGCTCTTTTGTTCTTAGAAACTACGACTTTGCATGGAGAAAGTTGACCAGAAAGCTCCTGAATACATCAGGATGGCAGCATCTTTAAAGTAAGCCACACTCCTCTGTTTTCTGACTCATTGGTGGAGAGGCTAATTCTTCACTAATTGAAAGTGGAGACAGAAATCTTTTTACTTGTTTTTTATTTTAGGGCCATTCTGATAAAGCAGATTTGGGGGTGGGGGAGGCTCTGTGCCTCTGCTCAGTGCAGTACTTGGAAATAGGTGAGGAAGGGCAGCCCATCTCATGCCCAGCTTGCCAAGGTGCTTTGTAACAGTGCATTGTAATGTCAGGCTTATAATAGGCTTTTCGTTTTGAGCACAGATGGGTACACAGAGGCACTGGGAAAATGTAGCCTATCTTAGGTTTCTTTTCTAAAATTAAGGTGTGGTTCACATACTTTTTAGTTTATAGTTCAAGGATGTTTATGATAGCATAGTCACAGGGTTGTCCAATTGTCACTACCATTTGGTTTTTTGTTGTTGTTGTGTTGTTTTGTTTTTGTTTGTTTTTTGTTTTTTCGAGACAGTGTTTCTTTGTGCACCTTTGGAGCCTGTCCTGGAACTAGCTCTTGTAGACCAGGCTGGCTTCAAACTCACAGAGATTCACCTGCCTCTGCCTCCTGAGTGCTGGGATTAAAGGTGTGCGCTGCCACCGCCTGGCTGCTTTTAACTTTTTGAGGAACTACAAAATTATATTCCAAAGAACTGTGTGGATAGATCTTTGTCCTGGCATTTTATAATTTTGTTGCTCCACAGCTGGGCTAACTCTGTGGCTCCTGTTTCTTACATATTTATTCACTGTGTGCTGCATCTCTATGGTGTGTGTGTGCTCTTGTGTGTGTGCGCGAGGTTCATGCATCCATGGCTAGTGCTGCATGTCTACATTCTGTGATTTTCCCTGGCTAGTGGGGACAGCCATTGCTGAGCACATTTCCAAATGGTTATCTTTCAATGCTAGTTACTTTGGAGGCTGAGACATGATTCCTGGAGCGGAGGTATTCATCATAGCAAGAAGGTTCCACCTAAAAAGAAAAACAAAATTCATCACCTATGCCAGGTGGCTCACAACCTCCTGTAACTTCCGCTCTAGGGGGTCTGACACTTCTGGCTCCCACAGGCCTATATACTCACCCATACACATACCTAAAAATAGTAAAATAAATCATAAAAAATAAAAGAGGCCTGGTCAGTGATCTGTCCCTGAGATGTATATACAGAAAAATGGCTTCTGCTTGATTACTATAGCTTGAGGCATTATTGCATTGTCTCCACAAATCTAAAATGCCTTAGAATTAACCACCTGTGTCTGAGGACATAAACACTGTGCTCTCCAGATGGAATCATGAAACTTAGGTCAAACATTTATGATTTCTCCTTAGTGCTGGGGAGACAACCTACAGTCTGGAGCATGCCAATGACCTCCGAGTGGAAGTGCAGAAGGTGTATGAGCTAATAGACGCTCTGAGGTAAAGTTGCTAGAGCACGTTTCTGCTTCTGGCTAATGGGAAGAAGATGGTGTTTTGACCAAACAGTGAGTGGTGGGGAGCAGCTCTGGGCTTCTCTAGATTGCTGGTGACAGAACAGTGGAGGGGGAGGCTGCCTGCTTTGCTGTCTGCTATAGCTCTGTAACTTCTGGTTAAGGATTTGGAGTATTTGGGGGTGGGGTGTAGGTAGTAATAGAGTACTCTCCTAGCATGCAGAGGACCAGAGAAAAAGATTTCTAATGTTCATTAGTAGTAAAGAAATAAGAGCTAGCTGCTGTACTACCTGTGAAACCTCCTAGGCTCTTTGTGTGGCTGCACTCTTGAATATTTTAAGACAGTGACAGCAAGGCATGAAAGTATGGGTTGTTAATTGACACACCCCGTGTTCACCTGTGAAGCCAAACTTTCCTGTGTTAGAGAAGTCAGAGGGGGGAAGGAGTGGGCCTTGCTATGTATGAGAAACACTTCAGTTTCTTCTGGGTTGTTCCACGTCCTCGTGGTATGAAGCCTGGAAGCTCTAGAGACGTCACTCTGGTTTTGAGGCTGGCAGCACCTATTACCTTGATGCGTTTTTTCCCCAATATAGTAAGAAGATCTTAACCTTGGGCTTGAACCAGGACCCTTCACCACATCCAAACACTGTGCGACTACAGAGAATGATCAGATACTCAGCTACACTATTTGTGCAGGTAAAGCTATTATAAGGTAACCTAAGTGTGTGGCTTGCTTGTTTTCTATTGGTACATTTATTATTTCTTAAAATTATGAACGCTACATTTGGAGAAAAAGCTGCAACCCAGGTAAAAGTAAAGATACTTTTTAAAAATTATTAAACATTTTGACAACTTCATACACACATACAATTATCATGGTCATATTCACCCCCATTACCCACTCTCATCTGCCTCCATCCCTGCTAACAACTTCGTCCCAGCTAGTCTCCCTCCTGCTTCCTGCCTTTTATTTTACGTTATTTGTTTGCTGTGTGTGTATTTATTTTGTGTGGAGGCCTATTATTGTTCTGTTTTTTAGATTTTCTTTTAGATTGTGTGTGTTTTGTGTCTGCATGTGGGTTGATGCACATGTAAGTGCTTGTGCTGCAGAGTCCAGAGAGACAGGCAGTCGTGAGCTGCCTCATGTTGGAGCTGGGAACCAAATTCAGGTCCTCTTCACCCCTGAGCCGTCTTTGCAGCCCCAGTTCTTGTGTTTAAAATAGCTTTTAATCCTATGCCTCCAATACAATTGTTCTTCATTCTGGTACATTTTCATTCTGAATTCTTTTTCTATATTTACATTTTTACATGCAATATTTACAATTAGTTCATTGCGTTAGTTGTCTCATTGCTGTGATAAAAATACTTTAAATTTAAGGAAGACTTTATTTGACGTTTTAATCTGTCATGGTGGGCTGGTCATGGTGGCAGGAGTTTGAGGCAACTGGTCATATATCTGCAGTCAGGAGATAGACAGATGAGTGCTGGTGCCCAGCTACCTCTTTTTATTCAGTCAGGGAGCCCAGCTTATAGAACAGAGCTATCCACACCAGAGTGGGTCTTCCTGCCTCAAACTTTTTTGGAAAGACCCTTATGGACATAGCCAGAGGAGTGTTTCAATTCTAAACCCATTCAGGTGGACAAGGAAGAACTACCCTTCCACACATACCTGAAAATTTGAATCATTTTAATCACTGAATCTTCTATGCTTTGTTGGCCATTAAATGCTGCTTTGGCTCTGTCTGCTCTCCTTTATTGAACCATTTCATTTTCGTTGGGGAGTTGATGGATTCTAAGTTTTTGCTATTATCAATAAGTGATGTTTCTTCCTCAGGGACTCGTTCTGGGCCATTGGCTAATGGTTCTAGAGCAGACTAAACCTGGTGTCTAGATCTGAGTTGCATTTTTCTACCTTCTATGTCCCCTGCATTGTTGGAGTCTCTGGGTGATTTGGTTGAAGTAGCTCTAAGGAGACTCCTCTCTCCCTGGCAGTTGTTTCCTGATTAGATGGTCTGAGGAAAGCTAGGAGTCCTGGAAGTTTCCTGAGCTTCCTGAGTCTTGTCAGTTTCAAGTTTCATGACTTTAAAAGTCCTCCAGGAGGGCGAGATGCAAAGATGGGAGCTTGAGGGAACTTGGGCGAGCTGGGTGCAGGAGGCCGATTGGGGGCAGGACAGGAAGGGGGAGAGTAACAAAGAAGATATAACTATGGGAGGGGCTATTTTGGGGTTAGAGAGAAACTTGGTGCTAGGGAAACTCCCAGGAATCCACAAGGATGACCCCAGCTAAGACTCCTAGCAATAGTGGAGAGGGTGCTTGAACTGGCCATCTACTGTAAGCAGAATGGTGACTTCCCTAATTGTCACCAGAGAGACTCTATCCAGTAACTGTTGGAAGCAAATGCAGAGATCCACAGCCAAGCACTGGGCTGAGCTCCAGGAATCTTGCTGAAGAAAGGGAGGAGGGATTGTACAAGCCAAGGGGTCATGATGGGAACCCACAGAGACAACTGACCTGAGCTCATGGACTCTGAAGCAACAGTTTGGGAGCCTCCATGGAATGGATTTAGGCCTTCTGCATGTGTGTAACAGTTGTGTAGCTTGGTCTCTTTGTAAGGCTCCTAGCAGTGAGATCAGGACTCGTCAAGTTCCTGCCAGTTAGCTGACTTTTGGGAACCTGCTCCCCATGCTTGATTACCTTGCCCAGCCTTCTTGACACAAGGGGAGGAGCCTCAATTTGATGGCCATGCTTTGCTCAAGGCCATGGAGGCCTGCCCCTTTCTAAATGGAGACAGTGGAGGAGGACTGCAAGGCAGGGATGGGTGGATGTAGATGGCGGGACATGACCTAGAAGAGGGGGGGGGAACTGTGGTCAGTATGTAAAATCAATGAAAAAATGTTAAGTAAATAAAATATAAAAAAATATTGGATATGGTATTTGGGTTGACAGATATGATAATTATCTTAATTAAATTCTTTTACATTGTTATATTCCAAAACGATGGCATACTTTTTAACCACATAAGCATAGATAGAAACTATTTTATCAATTTTTAACTAAAAGATTTTTGAAGGCGTAAGTCACAAACAATGCCACACCAGTTTGGAATTATGATTAATAGGGTAGTATTTATTTAAAGGGGAAAAAACTTACAGAAAACCGTCCCAGACAACAGCCCTCTGCGCAATCAGGAAGAAGTCTAGTCGCTGGAACCTGAGCAGGAAGCAAAGAGAGCGAGAAGGGAAGTAGCCACTTTTTTAAAGGGAGAGAGACCACGCCCCAATGGGCTGGTATCTCATCGGCTATTGGCTGGAGGAGCGGAAGGACCTCCCACAACAGATTTTATCCATCCCCTTCCCACCAAAAAAGTAAAAGTCCTCCAGGAGGGGCTATTTCCATTGGTAGAGAGTGGTCACATGGCAAAGAGTAAACAACCAATCACTACACACGTGGTAGTTAGTGTGGAGTATAGGGAGAGGTCTGAGGTTGGTGATTAAGCACAAAGGTGACAGGGAGTGCTGGAGTCTAGGTGGATATAGGTAGATGGTATCAGGGAAAGACTGGCACAGTCCTGAGGAATCCTTGGAGATCTGATGTGACCATCTCATGAGGAAAGGGTGGGTCCATCTGTGTAACGGCGTAAATGAATGCAGACAGATTGTAAAAATATATACAGCTTTAATGGGGAAATAGACTTACAGAACCACTGTTCCCATGGAGACCAGGAAAGCAGAAGGGGCGGCTGGGAGCATGCTCGCCAGATTTATAGGTAAACATTAGCCCGAAGCAAACACGCCCCCTAAGGGGCTGGACTTATCCCTACATCTCCTCCTTTTGTCTAAATAAGATAGAACTAAACCAAATACAACTATATACAATAATAACAAATAATAAATATAACAAACAATATTGAGAACAAAAGTTTTGCTAAACATTCTATCTCAAGCAGTCTAAATAATGTAGAGAGTAACTACAATTATATAATCTTCAACTCCGTCAAAGATCTGAGAAAGGAATAAATATTACTTAACAAACAAGATATATCCAAAATGTGCAACAATTGACCGAGACAACTGACTACCTAGGCAATCACCCAAAGTCTCGTTTGCAATGTTGAGTCAACCAACTTTGGCTAAGGCCTAACATAACTGACATACCATTATTAAAGGCAAGGAACTTTTTTAAAACTATCCTACCCTGTCTTGGCAGGATAAGACAATCCTGTTTCATTGTCAGAAGTTGAGGTATGGGTTTTTCTTAACCCAAAGGCCAGTTCTGCCAAGAAGACAAGCTCCCAGTGGAGTGTTTTTGGTGCTCAACGTTCTCTCGGAAGTAGAGTGGCATTGCCAGGAGTAATTGTGTCTCGTTGGCACAGAATTCTAGGTTAGATTAAAGGCCATTTTCTACAGCTCTTCAAAGAGGCTGAAGATTATACTATCTATACTAAATATAATCTCTATGTATCTAAAAGACCTGATTAATTCTCAATATCTATCTAACTTGAAGACTAAAAGAATAAACAACTGTGCAATATATGAAGACAATGATCTTCAACTGTAAACAATGTCATTACATATCAAATGTAAACAATGTTATATAAATAGTATCAGAGGTAGAAATGTACATTGTAATATGGTAGATGTATCAATACAATATAGACAAAGTTATAAGCATACTCTTATACAAAAATAGAGGTAGGAACACTCATATTCAATATTCAGTATATCAATATACAGGAAACAGTACCAATACAATTTTCTAAAAACAGTAATTCACAAATACCAATCATCCCATCAAACCAGTTAATCCCCCCCCCTTTGAAAATACCCCTAATTCCATAAAACATCTCCCCATCCCCTCAACCCCAAACCAACCACTAAAAGATGTCCCTAACCCTGAGGGCAAACTCTGTTGGGAGAGGGGACGTCATCCTCTAAAATTGCTTCTAGCTGACATGGGGGCGACGTTCTTCTTAGGGGTTCCTGTGTTGTCAAAAATGTGCACCATTCGAAATTGTCTCGTGCAGTTGGTACCAAAAAACAGGTCTAATTTTAGCGCTTAAAAAATATTCATGACGTCATAAAAACCAGATTGAATTGATGTCGTGGGGCCCCATCTTCATCCTGGAAACTTTAAAGATTACTGTAGGGAAAATGTTGTTTGTTATGGGAAATTTAAACATTAACAACAAGGACATATACTGACATATAAAGAAAGACACAGATATGAGGAAAAGCAAAGAAAGTTTATCAAGTACATAATTATTCTTATTCTGTCCCATTTCATGGCTCCTGACCTGAGACAGAAACTCTGAAATATCTCTTATCAACAGGCTTGGGATTGAAGAGGGACTGAACCATAGTCCAACTCCAAAACCAGCTCTACATATTTATAAAGAAATGTTTAATAAGACATATATATATATATAAATTAATACTTAGAAAATGTGTCCATCCATCAGTAATTAAATATTCAGGGTCCTTTAATTTCTTTGAAGATGAGTATTTTCCTGTGGAGATAAGAACCCTGCCCCCAACCTATCTGTATTTCTTACCATCAGTATGCTCGCCATCCTTGTGAATGAATTACTATTTATCTTTTCCAAGTGGCTTCTCTTCTTCAAACCGAACCTTTATTAATTTTGACGGTATCCACAATTGTTCCTCACCTGTGGAGATAAGAGCAAAACCCCTTCCCCA